GTTCCCGGAAGTCGGCAGCAATTCCTACTCGTCGGGAGGGGTGGGGACATACGGCAGAGTGGTGTGGGGTGGTCCGAGGGGATGGGAGAGGGTCCGGCCCACGGTGCGCCTGGGCTGGGACTGGTCCTGCCGGTGCAGGGTAGCAGGAAGCTCTCCACACACTCACCGGACCTGGGCTAGGACTGGGTCTTAATTCATATTTCTTGGCCCCTGATAGCTCACATAGACAAAGGATGAATATTTGCAAAAAATATACACTGAAATAAATAATAGATATAATCAGTAATATATTTTCTAAAAGTTGAAAACAAAATGTGCCTTATTTTCCATTGTCCAGGGAATGTTCCTAAAAGTAACCATATTAAACTATCAGTACAAAGGAAAATAAACCTCCAGATATGGTAAAGGCCTGGCCACCTAGGATTTTTAATTTTTTTTCCATTCAATGCTTGAATGAAAGAGGCAGTCAAGTTCAAGAATATAAAATATTTTGGAAACAAAAATGAAAAACCTAACAGACCTATGGATTTAAAACTGCGGTAAGCATGATCACCTTAAAGATACCAATAAATGAAAGTGAAAATAAATTTAAAACATTGAAGGCAACAAAGTAATATACCTAAAGAAAAAGAACATTTGAAATAAAAATAAGAATATTATACATATAGTTAAATCCAAGGTAGGTTTTTCTGAAAATGATAGTAAAGTATACAAACTAACAGAATCAAGAAAAAAGTTATAAATAGATTAAATGAGATTTCAAAATAAACAATTATGAGACGTTTTTCTCAATTCTATGAAAATACATATGGAAACTTAGATTAAATGTTTTTTATTTATTTATTTTTTTCTGGAAATGGAGATCTCTGTAGTGGATTTCAAATGGGTAGTCAACTTATTACACCCAGCTGAGCTGAACTACTGTGGTGCTGGGGAGCCCACTTGAGGTTTGCCAGCAGCTTAAAAGGCAAAACAGGAGAAGCTGTCAGAAGACTGTTGGGAATGTTTGGAAAAGCTGCTGGAGCTGTTGAAGCTGTTGAGAGCTGCTAGTTCTCTTTGGCTTTTCTGCTGGAGGACCTGATCATGCTGGGTTTCTTGATGAACTTTGTCCTCCATCTTAAGTAACACTTCCCAGCTCTGCAGGGGAAGATGGTGCACTACTCAGCTTCATGGAGAAGCTTGTCGCATTGGCTTTCTGGATGGGACTCAGCTTTCCTCATCACTGGAGAAGCTCGGGACTTCACTGTTGCTGATGATGACTGTGGTACCTTTTGGGGAGTGCTGGTGCTTGCTTTGAGTATTGCTTCCTGACCCCAGTTCAGATCACTCAGCCTAACTAGCACAGATCCTTCATTCCACTGGCATAGACTTCCTAGTTTCCACCACTGGCCTTGGAGCCTTTCCAGCACAGATCTGTGAAGTGGGTCTGCATGAGACCTTGTTGTGGGCTCTAGGCCACTAGTTGGACTTTTGGGAGGCATCATTGTGAGCTCTGGGATTTCAGCTGGACTTATGCAGGGTATTAGAATTCAGGCCCTCAGCTGAATTCTTTAGTGTTGAGTGTGTGGATAGATTTCCTGCACTTCTTGTATATGAATCTTGGGTGGTTCATTGTAAAATAATACCATAAAATGTATGCTGTACTATATTGTTTGCCTTGCAAAAACCCAAAATCATGACAACCTCTAAAATACAGACAATCTAAGCTTCCATTAACATGATAGAGTTACTATTGTCAAAGGACTATCACAGCACAATACAAAATCTTTGCACGTATTAGCACATCTAGTGACAGCTGTACTTTGATCTAGTCACTAATGCTTTGAGCTGTCCATCCAAATGTAATTTTTCTTTTCATAGACTACAGGTATAATACAGTTCCTATGCAGAGTTTTTTTTTTAATGTATTTATTTATTTATTTTTGTGTGTGTGGCCAGCTCAGCCCACCAGGGGAGAGGGCTGGCTGGCATGTGGTGCTGGGGGATTGAACCATGGTCCCTGTGCTTTGCTAAGCTTGTTCTAAGTAGGTGCTTTAGACCACTGAGCCATCTCACCAGCCCCCCTATGCAGAGTTTTTTAAGCAGCTTCCCTTGCAGCTAGAACAGCTGTCAGCTATGGAAGTGCCTAGGTGTGATGTTTATTTCAAGGCTGACTTTAATCAGAGGTACTCTCTTTATGGGAGGCAGAATAATTACTCCCCAAAGATCCAAACTACTGGGATCAGTGTGCATGTTACAGGACATGGTAATTTAAGGTTGCAAATAGAATTGAGTTGCTAATCAACTGAGGAGAGAATCTTGGATTACTTTGGATTACTGGCTGGCCCAGTGTAATCACCAGAGTTCTTCAGGTGGGAAGAGACATAAGAGTCAGCATGAGAGCAGCAATTCAACTGGCCTTTGCTGCCACTGGGGACAGTAGAAAGCCACAAACTAAAGATGTGGGTCACCCTTAAAGGATGGAAAAGTGAGGAAACACATTTGCCCCTGGAGCCTGCAGAAGGATTGATTCTCCACCACACCTTTATACTAACTCTGTGTGACTCATTTCAGACCCTTCCCAGAATTGGAAGAGAATAAACAGTTGCAGTAAGTCCCTAAGTTTGTGGTAATTAGGTGCAGTGAGAACAGAAACTAGTATTTTCTTCTGCTCAGTTTCCCCTTTTGCCAACTGGACACAGGACAAGCCCTAGATGTTGGTTAAGCCAGGGAGTAGAAGGCTCCTGGCCTCTCACCTCCAAGCAAGCAGTAGTCAGTCTCGATGGTGAGCACATGCTTGGACTTGTGAGAAATAGACCCTGATGGCATTCTCTACTGCTTGTCCCATCCCAATAAGTACAGTTCTGCATCTATTTTCTTATTCTTAAAATGAGAAGAATGATAGTAGTTATAACAAGTAGGTTTTTTGTTTTTTTTTTTTTTGGCCGGCTCAGCCTACCCTAGAGGCAGGACTGGCACAGCATGTGGTGCCAGGGATCAAACCACTGTCCCTGCACATTTGCCTAAGCTTGCCTAAGCAGGTGCTTTAGACCACTGAGCTATTGTGCCGGGCCTGCAAGTAATTATTTTGAAAATTGTTATTCTAAAATGTTTATAATGATTCCTATATAATATAAATATGATATAAATCTTATGAAGATAATGTGTGCATACATGGACATATATTTGTCCAAACACATGAATTATATTTCTTTTGAATAGCAGTAT